GAGTCCAGAAACCTGCGCATTAAGGTGTTGTTCCTTCCGGATAGTACCAGTAAAATGGCTTTTGGCAGTGCTTTTATAACCTACTTTCAGACACGTACTTATAGATTCCCAGTGTGTGTATTTACTGCCCGTTTTTTTTTGTTTTAAAGGAAAGATACTGAATTGTGATTTTGAGCTCTGGCATAACATTGAATAAAAAGGAAAAAAATGCACATTTTGTCATGGCATTTCATATGCATTCACTATATGGCATTGTTAAGCATCATACGTGCTGTTAAGATTATCACTATTGGGTTTTGTGTTCACCCTATGTGAAAAACCATTTTTCAGGTATTGATGGTATGCCTCTGCCAAGACGGTGACTTGGGAGGATCTTGGAGCTTAAGGCTCACTATGTTATTTTGCTTATGTTGTAAAGCCTAGGCTTTCTCTGTATTGAGTTTCTAACTCTTTTGTTGTATTTGGGTAAGATCTTGAAAATTTGTAGCCTTTAAAATATTAACTTGTATTATTTAAGTATTATTCTTTTAATCTTGTGCTATGGTTTCATGTTGTAGATCAATGACTGTAATGAAGCATGTAATATAATCTTGTAAGAACTTAAGGGACTCTTATGTGTGAATGTCAGATAATTGTATATAATGAGGAACTTCTGCATGTTTTAAGAGTTTTATGTTGGATTAGAACGTCTATTTATTTTTGGGGCGTTACACCGGCAGTTTCAAGATTTGAAAATTAAATTTACGAATTTACTTTCATTTTATTGTTGAACTGCCCTCAATAGTTTGATTTTTTTATTTAGGTTCAAGATTTTTTTTTTTGGCAAACTGAAACTGATTTTCCCAGTTCTCTCTCAACTTTTTTAATTGAATTCTTTTTCTCCCTCTCAATTTCTTTTTATTTATTTCTTATTTTTTTCAATTAGGATTGAGTAGTGTTCTTTTCCATCCAGTTCTCTCTCGCTCTCTCAATTTCTCTTATTTATTTATTATGGATGAATCAATTCTTTATCTTAAAGTCATTATTTTTTATTTGGGTTCTACAGTGTTCTTTTTTTTTTTGGCGTGGTAGCTCTAATTGGAGGGGGCTCGAATGGCCCGAATGGCCGGTCATCTACCCGGACGACTGGGTGAAAGATTGTCTACTGCGGTTGTCACCTTTGTCGACCACGGCTGTCCTCTTTGTCAATCTTCTTTTATTTATTTATTCATTATATTTTTTATTATGATATGTCAATTGTGATTGATCAATTCTCCCTCTCTCGAACTCTTTGTTTATTTGCATTTGGTATGTATAATAACTAAAACTTTTTCCCACTTTTCTCTCAATAAGAAGTTATATTATAAGATAAGGAGATTTCAAAATATTTTAAAATTAACAACAAAAAATAGATAGGATAGTTATAAGATTATGCATGAGTAATAGATAATTTTCAATTTGTTTGTCATATTAGAAAATGTTCAATTTATTTGTTTATTTTTATTTATTTATTGATTAATAATTTATTTGTAGATAACAAGAAGATTCCAAAAAATATTAAAATTGAAAAAAAGAGAAGATAAGACACGTTGAAAAATTATGTATGAATATAGTTTTAAATTTGATTAAGCAAATAAAAAATAAATTTATAAATAATAACGAGGACACCAAAAGTTATTAAAATTAAAATTAGATATTTAATTTTTTTCATGATCTTTTTCCCCAGTTCTCTCTCAATTTCTTTTTATTTTTTTAATTTTTTTATTTCATTTATTATGATATATAATAAGAAGTTATATTATAAGATAAGGAGATTCTAAAATATTTTAAAATTAACAACATAAAAGAGATAAGATAGCTATAAGATTATGTGTGAGTAGCAGATAATTTTCAATTTGTTTGTTATATCAGATAAGGTTCAATTTATTTGTTTATTTTTTATATTTATTGATTAATAAGATTCAAAAAAATATTAAAATTAAAAAAAAATAAGATAACCTTGAAAAATTATATACGAATATAGTTTTAAATTTGATTGAGTAAATAAAAAATAAATTTATAAATAATAAGGAGGACGCCAAAAGTTATTAAAATTAAAAATAGATATTTAACATTTTTTTATGATCTATTTGGATTGTTCTTAAAAAAAATAAAAAAATAAATTAAAATAGACTTCAAGAAAAATTATTATTTTAATATTATAATTCTTTTTTTGGGAGTTACTACCCACCGCTAGTACTATTATTCAGTGAACGCTAGACTTGGTGTCCAAACCTTCTCCTCATATCACGTGGTAACTTTTATCCTAAAATAAAAAATTATTTTACAAAGACAAAAATAAGATTTGAACTCAAGATCTTAGGTTGTGTTTGCTATGCAGTTCTAATCATGATTCTCTACTCATATTTGAGTGTGATGTTTGGATATTACTTTGAAAAATTAATTCCACACCCACTTTTACAAACCCATTTCAGGTGGAGTTTTGAATTTTGAAATTTGGCCTACTCAGTCCTCCTAGTTGTCCGGCCGGTTGATCGGAACAGTGTTTTTTTTTTCTCTCCAAAATTAACACATGTTATTTTTTATATTTTAAATAAAAGATATTTTCAGAATTTTTGAAATTTTTTTATGAGCTTTGAATAGAATTTTGGGTTGTGTGTTAGGTTATGAGTTGTAAGTTTTTGAATCAAATATCATATGTCACGTCAAAAATTTCAAACTCAATTCAAAACTCTTTTCAAAATTCAAAACCAAACAAATTTTTCACGCTCAAATCATAATGCAATACTCACAAACTCAAAATATAACTCTATTCTCAAATCATAATTTTAAAATTCTATCAAATGCTATCTTAGGTGTTTTTTAAGAGCATTCTTACCACTTAATATATATATATATATATATGTTATGATATTATTTTTTCATTATTTATTATTATTTTTATTTATTTAAATTGCAGGCATAGTGGGTTTCGGCAGACATAATTGGCCATCAGCCCATGTCAACGAAATATTATGCAGTGATCTTGGGGGCATTACCACGTAGTGCCCAACTTGATATAATTGATTGAAATTGTTAAAATTTATGTTTTGTTGCCATCGGTCCATGTCAAAAAAAATAAAAATAAAAAAAATAAAAAATTATGCAGTGATTTTGGAGCATTGCCATGGTGCCTAACTTGATATAATTGATTGAAATTGTTAAATTTTATATTTTTTATTAGGGTAAATTATAAACACATCTCTTAAAACTTATTTAAATTATAAAATATTCTCTGTGATTCTAGAAATTATATTATCCCCTTTAAGGTTTCTAATTTCATAACAAATATGTTATTTTATTAATAAATCATCAAGTTAATTAATAATTTTTAATAATGTTAAAATTTTATTTTAATTAAGAATTCAAATAATTTTATTACTGTATAGGTGAACAGTTAAAAATTTTACTTTTTCAATTAATTCTGTTAAATAAAAAATTATGACAAAGAGACATTTGTAATTTTCTAAACTATATGGACAATTCGTATTTTAAACAAACTTCAAGAGATGTATTTATAATTTACCCTTTTTATTAAGTTGTTAAAGAGACAACTTAACAAGTGTCAAGTGTTTAATAGTGTGGTGCAATATTCCTAAAGAGAAATGGCTGGTAGCTCGAAACCTCGAGGCTTGAAAATGGCTCGAAATCAAAACGTCGCCGTTTTGATTCGATTTTTTTCCATGATGCATCTATCATTCTTTTCTTTATAATGTACTAATCTAATCCTATAGTCTACAAGTAAATTCCAAAACCCCAAAATACATACACCCAATCAACATACAAGATACTATGTCTAAAGAAATAGTTAGGAGTACCATAAAAACAAATCTTACCTCCAAGAGATGATTAGATCAAAGTCACCAATCTATGAATCTTCTTTCTTTTCTTTACTTCTTCTTCTTCTCTCTTTTTTTTTTTTTTTTTTTTTTTTTTTTTCTGGATCTGAAATTGTTTTTTAAAAAAAATTGTTGATGAAGATGTGGTCGTGAAGATCCAAATCTGAAGGTTGGAAGATCAGATATTTTTTTTGATCGGCCAGATCTGTTTTCTCGGCATTTTTTTTTCTTCTTCTTCTGCCTTTTCTTCTTCCTCTTCATCAGAAAAACGCAGAAAAATTGGTATGTGTGTGGGTGATTTTGCTGCTGCTGCTGCTGCTGCTGCTGTGTGTGTGTGTGGGGGTTTGGGTTTGATTTGTGTGGGTGATTTTCCAGATTTTCCAGATTTGTGATGATGTTGATGAAGATGTTCATAATCTGAAAAATTGTGATGATATATTCATGAAGATGAAAAAAATTTGGGTCTTTGTGGACTTCTTCAGAAAAACGCGAAGAAAGGAAAAAAAGAAAGAAAAAAAAAAAATAGAAGAAGACACCAAAACGACGTCGTTTTGGTGTCGAGCCACAGTCGGGCCACAAAGTTTCGAGCTACGAAACGGAACTGATTCCTAAATTATCAAATAAACTTTCCGTAAGATTTTATTTGAGAAGAGGGTTGGATTAAAATAGTCTAATAAAAGATAAAATAAATTAAAATAATCAATAAAATAAAATGTCACATCTAAATCATAATCATGTCAATGTTTTTTTTCACAACTATCAAATTAACTAGAAAAAGAAAACCAATCAACTTCTCCAACATAACTTTTTTTATTAAGCTAAAATAATTAAAAAATTAAATAGTCAATTAAAATAATCAACTTATCAAACAAAGCCAATGTAAAGTGGTCTTGTGCACATCACCACACCCAATCATTGCCTCCAAAAGTTTTAACCCTAAGCCATCTCCCCCTTCATATTCTCCCATCTCTTATCCTCGATCTCTCTCACTCACATTCTCTTCGTCGGTGGCTCCCCTACGCCTCAGGCAACGATCCATCTCAAGGCAAGTCTGATCTCTCTTCTCTCCCATACTGCAAACCCCCCTCACTTGCCATAAACCCCACTACTTATTTATAACTTGGACTGGTTGTTTATTCACAGATACACACACAAACAGCACAAAGAGAGACAGTGAGAGATATATTAGATCTTCATTTTGAAGGGCTTTGCAGGGAGACATGGCCCCTCAGTCATCAGGTAAATTCAAGGGCACATGACATACCTTCTTTCTTCTGTTCCTCTTTGTCTAGCATGATGTTTGATTACCATTTTTAAATGCTAGTTGGTTTTTATTTTCCAATTAGTTTCTAAATCTTGTAATGTGGTTTAATATTTTCATTTTTTTAAAATGCTTGTGCGATTTGTTATTAAATAGGTTCTACGGACGGGAATTTTTATGGCATGAGTTGAGTCGGAAAAAATAAATAAAGGTATGCTTTGCTCCTCCTTGTGCTGTGTTAATGTTTATTTTACATATTCAATTAAGGGTTAATTATGCCTTCCATCTCACTTTGATAGGCATACAACAAATAAGAGTTTTAGATATCAAATATTTTGGTCTCTAAAAATGAAATTTTTATTGCAAAAGACATTTAGGGACCAATTTCTATCGTCATAAGGATAGTCGCTAAAAGGTCATCCAAAAAAGACCAAAATATGGCTTTTAGCGTCAAAATTTTAAAAATGTCACTAATAAATAGACTTTTACGGACAAAATAATTTAGTCTCAAAACAGTTTATTTTTTGAGACAAAAAATTAGTCCCAAAAGGATAATAATTTATCACTAATGTCTAATTTTTGTTACTAAAAATATAATAACGATACTTTTCGCAATAAAAATATTTGGTCTCTAAAAAATAATTTTGTCCCTAAATTTTAGTTTCTAAAACCTTAATTTTTTGTAGTGGAAGTGTATCGGGCTACTCGTCTTGGAATTGAGCAACATCAGTTAACACAAGACAATAATCAACTGAATCTAGAATTGAGTTGGAAGTTAATACAAATTTATCAGAATAAGTTTTAGCCAATTGTTTACGATGGTGATGATGATGATGTGGACCCCATAATGACTCAAACGATTTGATTCAAATTTCACTTTAGTCACGATAATTTCAATTTGAACAATTTGATTTATACACTTTTAAGTGTATTTTAATTTGGTCATTCTGTCCAAATTGGAGGTTGAAGTTAACACTAGTCATTTTTTTTTTTTTTTTGAAATTTGCGCGTAGACAATAGAGATTAAAGTGAAATTTTGGTCAAATTATAGGGGTGAAAAGTGTAATCAACCCTTCAATAGGGTTGGTTTGGCATAAACTAAATAATACAAAAAGTTAAAAAGTCACTATCCTATTTAAGTCATATCATCTTATTTAAATCACATCACCTCTCTAACACATCACATCAAACCCAACCCATATAAGCCAATAAGTCAAAAAGTGCACTTTTTTAGAACATCCCAAACCAACCCTAAATACTTACTTTTCAAAGTTGTGAAACTTAGGACATGTTTGGTAACTTTTATGTTTGTAGTTTTCTGTTTATATTTATAAAAAATTTGAAAACTATAAATAAAGCTAGTTTGGTATTTATTTTTGATTTTAAAAGCTTGTAAACACTTCGTAAAATCTACTAAATTTTTCTAACCATAAAAAAAATTGGTTTCACTTACTACCAAATCAACACTTGTTAATTTTTTAAAGGTGTACACGTAGACAAAATTGAAATTTGCATGTAGATAATAGAGGCTAAAGTGAAATTTTGGTCAAATTATAGCGGTGAAAAGTGTAATCAAACCCTTCAATTAAATACTACTTTTCAAAGTTGTGAAACTTAGGACATGTTTGGTAACTTTTATGTTTGCAATTTTCTGTTTATATTAATAAAAAATTTGATTTGGTATTTATTTTTGATCTCAAAAACTTGTAAACACATCATAAAATCTACTAAAATTTTCTAGCCATAAAAAAAATTGGTTTAAGTTATTTAGAAAAAAAAAGGTTTTATTTTATTCAATTCCCCCCTCCCCGATTTAGCTTGCATTTATGATTTAAATTTAATTAATTCACTTACTACCAAATCAATATTATTTGGTGTGCCAATTGGGGATCATGACTCTAAATGGGCCTCAAGAATTGGTGTCGAGGTTTGAAAGCACCTGCAAGACCTTAGCATTCGAAGGTGGAAATATGTCGCAGAAAATGTTAAGGCACCTATGTTTTTAATTTATAAAATACAATTAATCTTTCCTTACAATATTATCTTTTGTAGGATCATTTTGACATGCAAGGTGAATCCACAGATGTTAGAAAGGCAGTGGCAACAAAGTTTGGGCGGAGCCTGAGCTGCCTACAGGCTACGAATTTTATTTTTGAAGCTTAAGAGTGCTAAGGGAGAGTCTAGACTCACTCCCAAACCCCAAGAAGGTTTTTAGGAGAAAGGAAGATCAGAAGGAAAAAAGTGGAAGGTTTTTAGGAGAAAGGAAGATCAGAAGGAAAAAAGTGGAAGGTTTTTAGGAGAAAGGAAGATTAGAAGGAAAAAAGTAGAGTTAAGAATGTGAATCAAAAGGAAACAGGGAGTGAATCGAAGATTGGGAACAAGAAAAAGAGTTGAAACAACGTAGCTAAGAAAATCCAACAACCCGTGTGTTTCGGAGAATTCGAGTCTTGTTTCGGTTCATCATCACAGTTTGAGTTCTCATCATGAGTCTACGTCAGGTTTGTTTTTGGAATGACCATATACTTTTTTTTATACTCTATTTGGTAATTTATGTGTTTTAATTTGTTTGGTTTTTGTTTTTCATGTTTCGAAAACAGAAACTGTTGCATTCCAATTTTTACCAGAAAATATTGTCCTGTTATAGCCAAGTACGACTACCTACTTTATTTAATTTATAAAATACAATTAATCTTTGCTTACAATATTATCTTTTGTAGGATCAATTTGACATGCAAGGTGAATCCACAAATGTTAGAAAGGTAGTGGCAACAAAGTTCGGACGGAGCCTGAGCGGCCTACACGCTACGGAATTTTTTTTGAAGCTTAAGAGTGCTAAGTGGGAGTCTAGACTCACTTCCAGACCCAGGAAGGCTTTTAGGAGAAAGGAAGATCAGAAGGAAAAAAGTGGAGTTAAGAATGTGAATCAGAAGGAAACAGGGAGTGAATCGAAGATTGGGAACAAGAAAAAGAGTCAAAACAACATAGCTAAGAAAGTCCAACAACCCGTGTGTGTTTCGGAGAATTCAAGTCCTATTTCGGTTCTTGATCTTCATCATCATAGTTTGAGTCCTCATCATGAGTCTACGTCAGGTTTGTTTTTGGAATGACCATGTATTTTTTTTATACTCTGTTTGGTAGTTTCTGTGTTTTAATTTGTTTGGTTTTTGTTTTTCACGTTTTCGAAAATAGAAACTGTTGCGTTCCAATTTTTACCAGAAAATATTGTCCTGTTATAGCCAAGTCCGACTAACTTCATGCAATTGTCTGTGTTATGTTAAGCATTTGAACTTTCAAACCTCTTCTTTTCAGTTTGTCGATTGCAGCTTCCACCTTTTGCATTATTCATGGGTCTGATTCACTTCCATGATATCCCTCTTTCAAGATTGGCTCGGTTTCATTGTAGCATTTTCACCCTTATTCTTGCCCCATTCTTCACCCCTGCAATATTCAATTCATTAACCAAATTTTATTTAAAAAAAAAAAAAATCATACTATGATCCTACTTTTAAATTAAACTCATTATACCATACCTTTCGTGAATAGCCGACATGCTAACAAAATAAATTTTCGTCTTGGAACGATTGACATTGATCTCTAACCAATTTGACCATGTCTTTAGAGCCATCTCCAAAGTATGTACCATTTCAACTTCTTTGTAGGTTTTGCCTGGGCTTTCAAATGATCCCCATCTAAGCATATTCAAATAATTATTATCAATGTGATTGTTTCAAACAAAAAACTTGACTTGTTTGATCAAAATGCTATTAGTTTGTTTACAAAAATGTAGTTACAAAACCTTAAATTTTGGCCTTCTCCGCCACATGTAAGAATCAAAGATGAGGATATCTGCATCGGTCCAGTGCCTAGCATGCTTTTCGATTGCCTGCACTCTTAAAATTTGCTCCGATGAAAAATGATGGTGCACTGGACGATCTGAGGTTGATTCCACCAGATATGGAGCTCAATAATGGTCAATTGATGCATTGCATTCCTTCAATATTGTATTAAACCAACAATTTAGGACACTTTTGAAATCAAACAGGAATTCCTTGATTTTTAGAAATTAATGATAGGTGAGAATTGATATTGTATTGAAGTTTAATATTTGTTATTGTTTTTTGACTCACATCGATCTTTAGAGGTGGTTAAGGGCCCCTTTGTGGTCACGGATTTTAGAGTCGGAGCGATTGATGATTCCAACAAGTAGACCATTGAAGTCCATTGGTTTCTAGTTAATGAGTCCCCAACAAACACAAGCCTCTTATTCCGTAGTCTCTCCAGCATTGCCATGGCAGTAAACCTTGTTAACATGTAAAATTTCACAGAACTCAAAACACAATGTGTGTGTGTGTGAGAGAGAGAGAGAGAGAGAAAGAGAGACCTTGGAAGGTCGCATTCATGAGGCTGCCACCTCCAATGCTGGTGCTTTAAGTCCATTTGGCCAGACCTCTCGCAACCCACCCCATTGAACAAGGACATGAATGAGCAATGCTGCTCCTTGTATAAAGGGTAGTTCTTCTCATCATATACCCATTTTGCTGAAAACAAATCGCAGCACGATGATGAGTACTTGTCAGTGTTTCTCTGAGTCTTTTGATCAAACAACCACCTGCTTTCTTTGGTCGTAGCAAAAATGCCAAGGACAAACACCACGGCGAGAAGAACAATTAGAGAACTAATGCTGCATCTGATATTCCATGTTTTGGGAACTACTAATTGGCTTGTGCTTGCCATTTAACATAGCTCTGCCTTGAAGTTTGATATTTTGTGTAGCATTCCATCAAACACAAATTGTCAGATGACTAAAATACCCTTAAGCTAGATCCTACTCATCAAAATTTTTTTATGCTGGAAGCCACCCACTGCCTGAATACAACTTCGAGGAGTGGACAAACCTGATTAACAATAAGTGGAATGATGGGGCATGGCTGGTAACGTCTTCTTCTTTCCCTTGTTCCCATTTGCATGCTCTCGTATACCTGTTTATTGTTAATTTGTATCTTCTTCTTCTTCTTCTTCTCTCTCTTTTTTTTTTCCTTACCTAGTCAGCTTTTGTTGGCAGGATTGCCTATAGAAAATTTATATGCTGCGCATAGGCAGGCATCTTTTGTAATGCATCAACAATGGGAAAATGAAATCAAGTAAAGGTTAAAATAAACTTTAAAGCATAATCAAGGAACACAAGAAATAAGGCTTGCGCTAAAAACAAGAGAAGAAAAATTAAAAAAGCTGAAAGGTAATGGATATGGATTTAGGAAACACTACAAGAAATTAAGTCTTTTAGAGACTAATATTTAAGGACTAATTAAATTTGGTCGTTAAAAATAATTTTTTAGGGACAAATTTAAGCATATGATAATTTACTTATAAGATTGTAAAAATGACTATTAATATTCTCATTTAATATTTACATAATTCTTTTAGACCAATAAATTTGGTTACTAATGTATTATTAACATCTTTAGAGACCAAATATTTTCATCATTATCGATTAAAAACAATTTGAGACCAATTATTTTCATTGAAAAGTCGGGACCTCTCTTCACTTCAGCCCTAACTTGCTCATTCTCTCTTTCAACTGGTTTGCTCAATCTTCAGCCCTAAAGTCAGGAGCTACAAGGCAGATTGGGAGCTCAATCTTCTTCAAATTTTGGTGCCTCTCTCTCTCTCTCTCTCTCTCCGTAATCAACCTGTAAGAGCTTCAATTCGAACTTTCAATTTCTTATTGTAATCGATCTCCGTAATCGACTTGTAAGAGCTCCAATTCTTTACATAGATTGAACTTGTTTGTGTTTCAATCTGTGTCTTGCATCCACAAAGCAAACTTATGCGTTACATATTGAAACTTGTTTGTGTTTCAATCTGTGTTTTGCATCCACAAAGCAAACAAAAAAACAAAGCAAACTAATGCGTGTTTCAATCTGTGTTTTACATAGATTGAACTTGTTTCTTATCTTAATGCGTGTTGGAATTGAAGAATTCTTTACATAGATTGAACTTGTGTGTGTGTATATATGTATGTCTAATCTAATGCGTGTTGGAGATGAAGAATTGGGGATGCGGTGCACATTCTAGGGGGTGTATTTCTAATTCACCCTATTATTAGGCAATACTGATTGGTTCTTAGTTGGAAGAATATTAGACATGTATATAATGAATAATATATATCACATTTATTTTATTTACCTACTCTTCTAGTCTCCACTGCAAAACTGTCCTAGGATAAATATTGTCAAAACTGTTTAGCAACAAAATGGAAGATGATTTTATTGAAAAATTTAGGATAATTGATAATAAACCTGAATATGCACATTGATGTCTATGGAAATTGCCAATCCTAAACCTTCTAACATGATTGATAATTGCCTCTCCTTGTGCGAATTTTACAGGTTGCATCCCTTTGGTAATAGGATCACACAGGACCTTTACGATATTTTGTTACCTAGTTAATTTTCCATGTTAATTTGTAGTGGCTTCTTGTCTAAAAACCTTAATATGAGAACCTTGAACTATCATGTTTCCTTTCTTTGTTATTGCCCTGATGTATAGAAAGTATGATTGCCTCAGACATTATTGAAGTAATATAGAAAATATTCTTTTTGTGGTCTTGATGGTATATATAATATATGGAACCTGTCATTTTGTCTAGGTAGATATTCTTGATATTTTTGTGAGAGTGATTTGGTTGTGTTACAGGGTTAAAGAGAGTAGTTCATTGCATTTTTTAAGGGAAAATTATTTAGAGCTCTTAGGGCAAGGCTATGATGGGCATGTGGCACTCTAACTTGGGATTTTTATTGGTTTAAAATAAATAGTTGAACCCTATCACTTTTATTTTTGTTAGTTTTTTGAACCCAGCAATGTGGTAAGACCACCAAATAACCCCCTCTATTGCTTTTTGTAAGTGGTGTGGTCTGGTGGGATTGCAAATCTATCAAAAAAAAAAAAAAAAAGGTTCAAGTAAAGAACTTGCTCTACTTGCACTAGAGCACAGATCCACTTGCATCTTTATATTTTTATAATTATTTTTACTTGTTTTCACTTATTTATAATCTTTCCGAAAAAAAAAAAAAAAATTTGGAGCGCATGAAAGTAAGAATGACTTTCACAAAGTTGCAAGAAGGATGTAAGAATGAATGTTTGTCATTTTAAAATGGTGAAAAAGCTGAGGAAGGGGTTTTGGCCCTTTTTACAAATTGCCATGTGGTTATTTGTCTTTTTTCCTTGTCCAGAATGACACTTCTTTGTTTTCTTCCCGAAATTTATTCTTTTTGAGGAAGTAGTACTCGTCTAGTCTCTATGTGTTTATTTGTGTGCCTCTCTGTTTTCTCAAGATTCACAGTGACAATTGCATAACATTCACTGAAGGTCTAAAATTACAACAATTTGAGACTATCTTCAAAGGCCTTGTCAGTGTGGACTATCTTGAAATTAATGCATCTACTTAGAATAACATGCATGCTCATGAAAGAGGGCTTTTTTTTTTGTGAAAGTGTCACTTTTGCTTTCCAACCAATTTTTTTTTTTTTTTGTGAAAGTGTCGCTTTTGCTTTCCAGCCAAGTGAAATATTATTTTCTTTTTTCTTTTGGGTGTATCTGAGTTATGACAAAAGTTAAACCCTTTCTAGGGAGGTTTAGGGTTTTGGACAACTGGGCTAGCCCTACTTTCAAAATACTTGTGAAAAGAAATAAATAAAAAAATCAAAATTATTGAGTGTATTTGTTTTGTTTTGTCAATGCCAACTCATATTTGCTATACATGTGCTACTTGTTAGGATTGTGGTGTTGGCTATACAATCTCAGTCAGGCATGGCATTGATTTTCCAAACTGTTATGGATCTCATCTTTGTCAGTTTCTATGCATTAATATCATCCTCATAGGCTTGACTTCATCATTTTATGCTGATCAAGGTTGTTAAAATCGGGATCCTAAGTAGGATCGGTGAGAGGGTCTGGTGGATCGGATCGTAGGATCGGATCGAAGATCGTAAGATCCTACTTTCTATTAAAAAAAAAGATAAAAATAAAAATTAAAATGATACATATTAAAAATAAGGTGAAAAATCATAAAATCTACAACCCTACCTGCGATCCTACCTACGATCCCATACGATCCTACACGATCCCATGCGATCCTACACGATCCTACTTGCGATCCTGTTATAACATCGATCCTACAATGATCTGGATCGTTTTGGCAAAGTAGGATCGTATGATCGTACGATCTTACGATCCGGATCGCGATTTTAACAACGATGATGCTGATTATATGTAAAGGGGTGTGTGCATTATTGCATTAGTAGAGTGATAAGAAAAGTTTGAAGTGTTGTGGTCATCATTTTGTGTTAATTTGTTCTTCTGTGTTATTAGAATGTCTTTCCCCCTGGAATGGACCCTCATTGTGGCATTAATTGCTTGCTAATATGGTCAATAGGGTCATGTCTGTCATGGAGAATCTGATTTCTTCATTGTATCCTCATAGCTGGAACCTGAATGTGGCATGATGTTACTTGAATATATATTTAAACTAGAAAGAGGCAGCAGTATTTTATGCAAATGTAGCTCTTATTAATAAAAACTTTATATTATTTGAGGAGAAACATTTGTATACATTGATTGCTAAGCATAGTGCTGTCTCCGAGTTGAATTGAAATAATGTTCCTAAGTAGGGAGGTGAGTTTAAATTTATCTTTGCAGTATTTTCAGTCCAACATTCAAACCAGCTCAGTTAAACTATTATAACCGATATTTCCCTCAAAATATTGATTGTTCCACATGATTTTCTGTATCTTTGAAATGATCACCAGATTCTCCACACGGTTGTCCTCTGGGAATCACCATGATTGGGGGAAATTTCTGGATTGAAATGAATAGGGGAAAGCAATGAAATTTTTAACAGGAAGGGAATATCAAGAACTTCTAGAATTGTTACAAATTCAGTAGTTCACAAATAATCTGAGTTTTCTATTCTATTTAATACCTATGTCACATGTGAATGATTCATGACTCTTTTAATTCTATATGCAATTGAAAACTCCCTTTTTCTCCTGATTTAACTGTGTTTTGTTAGCCAGTACATGTCTTACATCTGAAGGAGTTTTCTTGCATTCGAGTCTCATGCTAATGTATTATTTATAGCCTAGGGAATTTATAATGTAAACCTTCGGAGAATTGCAAGTTACTTTCTGGCTGATTTTTTTTTTTTTTTCCTCTTGTGGTTGGAACAGCAACTGATATAGCAGGAGAAGTAGTGGAGGTTGGATCTGGAGTCACAAAATTTAAAGCCGGTGACAAAGTTGTAGCCGTGCTTATTCATTTTGTAAGTGTCATTTATTTCATGTTTTGTTCACCTTTCTGTTTAGTATTTATTATGTGTCTCTTCATTGTTAGACAAAGCCGCATAGTCAAACTTGTAGTTAAAAAGCTTTGCATGATCACAACTTGTTTGTTTCACAAGGAGATTATAACATCATTAAATAAAATACTTTTTAGGCTTACAAGTCCTTTTTTAGGCTCACTACAGGTGAGGCGGTTTACCTTGAAGCTTCGAACTTTAACATCATAAGTTAGGATATACACTCTGTAATCTCAATATGAGTATATTTAACTAAAATGAGGCGCTTTACCTTGAAGCTTTGAACTTTGGCATCATGAGTATATTGGGGCGGTTTACCTTGAAGCTTTGAACTTTAAAATTTAACTAAAATGATGTAGCAATAAAATTTGTATATATTGTGAACCATATAATGTTTTTTATTTTTATTTATTTTTATTTTTTAAGTTAGCCAAGTGTTCTATAAGTGACTAGGACAGGCACTTGAGGCACAGTTCACAGCAACATTTTCCCAGTAGCGGCCAACTTCAAAGGTTTCCCCAATACAAGTGACCCTGCTGATATGAATTCATGCTGATTTTTTGTTTTGGTTTAGATTATGAGAAATATTTGATGCTTGATTTTATTTGGAGCATGGCTTTTGACATGTCTTGATAACTGGAATTTTGTTATTCTGCTTCTTGTCCCTCAGTATATTGTGGTTATGAATGCATGCTGACTAATTTTGTATTGCTACTGCTACTGCTGCTGCTGCTTCTTTTTTTAGAATATTGTGGTTAGAATGTTGCTGCTGTTTTTTGGAATTTCTGTTATTGTGCTTCTTGCCCCTCAGTATATTGTGTTTTTTTTTAGGGACAATCTGGTACAAAAATAACTTATTAAATTTGGTCGCTAAAAATAATCTTTTAGGGACAAATTTAAACATATGATAACGTTTTGGGTGTTTTTTGTTTTCAGATCGGTTGAATATCGATGATTTTGAAGCTAACGATGAGGTACAACCAGATTTCCCATGTTCATACTATTATGAGGATTTTGATATCGCATCTCTGTGTTCCCATCTTGAAGATGACCACTCGTGCGAGTCCAAAGTCTCCGTGAATTTTCTATGTTTTAATTCATCATTTCAGTCTTTAAAACTGTTTTCCATGTTTGGGTTATGTATTGATTTCCTTCTTTTGTTGGAAAGTTCTGATTTTTGTTGTTTTTGTTAAATCCAATCTGATCAAATTTTGAAAATTGCTTCTTTTGTTTTTGTTTTCGCTTTTTTTATGTGCGAATTAAATCCTTTATTGTTGTTGAATCATTCTATATCTACAGTTAATCCGATAATAGAACCAGAAATGTCAAAGGGTTGTTTCTAATTTTGTGATCAGATTTTGTGGACTAGCAATTTTTCTTCTATCAATTGTTATATTTTCCTTTTGTGAAAAAAAGGAAAGAAAGAAATTGTTACTTTGTTGGGTATGTTGAGAGGTCACAATCTAGGCAGATAGGCTATCATTTATGCTTGCAATCAAACTTTGGTGAATTTGATTAGCCTATGGTAACTTGTCTTGGGAGAGGATAAGGTCAGGTTTTGTGGTTGGATGATGTTGCCTTTAACTTTAAAGAAAGAAACTATCGTACACTTCATAATTTATATGTGGGAGAAAATGTAGGCATATGCATACAACATTAACCCAATCTTTTGCTTTTGTTTTTTGTTGTGGGGAGGGTGGTTACTCCTGCTATGTTTGGAATTACACTTCATATTCTGTACTCAACCTCACGTTGAGGTATCCTTTCAACTACTCTTTTTGTTAATGGAAGAATAATGAAACCTTCTTTAAGAACACTGAAGGAAGTAGATTTGGAGGGTGTGAATTTGTGATATTATTTGGTCTGTTTTAACTGAAGCTAATGGTTAATTGAATATTAATAACATGTTCACTCAAGGATCTGGGGAGATTTGGAATTAGAACATACGCTTTATGAAATTATAATGTTTGACTCACCTATTGTGTGAATAAATCACTGGGTGAGAGTTTATATTTTCCTATTGTAATATGGAAGACCACTTGAATGGAAAAAACAATATGAGAGTTGTGACTGGCTTCCTGTTATCGATAGAATAAATAGTTTACTATTTGTGGATATAAATATAAATGTTTTGAAATATAGATATGAATAAAGATTGGGACCGCCTTTTTCCCACCCGCTTTTGACCCCCTTTCTTTTTTGATTGGTCACTTTTTATTTTTATTTTTCTTTTTTTTCTCCTCCTCCAATCACCACCCGCCACGTGTGTGTGGGGGGTGGTGGGGGTTGAAGTTTGAGGGGGTCTAAATCACTGCTGTATAGATATATTGTTTCATAGCAGAGAGTTGAATTGGCAAAAAAGATTTATATAAGAAAATCTAAGCTGTAAGGATGGACATGTGAACTACAAATAAAGCCAAATTTTTTAGATATTTTAGATAGATGTTTGTAGAACTAGTTAGGAGGTAGTTGTAGTGTTTGTTAGATTGTTAGATTCATTGTATATAAGTATGAGTGATGTATACTTGAACAACTATTGAGAATGAAATGGTATGTGATTACACCTTTCTTCATGGTATCAGAGCATTGAAGATCTATCGAGCAACTGATCCATGGTGATGTCACTTTCATCTTCACCACTTTCTTCTTCTCTTCCTTCTAATCTGACTTTACTAATCAAGCTTGATGGAACAAATTTCATCTTCACCACTTTCTTCTTCTCTTCCTTCTAATCTGACTTTACTAATCAAGCTTGATGGAACAAATTTCATCATCTGGCAGACTCAGATCTCGAATATTCTTCAAACAACCAATCTTCTTGGTTATGTTAATGGCTCGATCAATCATTGATTCAACAGGCAGTTCTGTTCCTAATCAAGAATTTCTTCAATGGACCATGATTGATGCACATTTGCTAAGTTGCATCACTGCGACTCATACACCAGTGATCTACACATCTGTTCTTCAATTTCATCACTGCTGTAAATGGATCGGATCTGTCAAAATCCGAATCCGAATCCGATTAAGGCAAACCCGAATCCGATTCGAATCCGTTTAGTATATATCAGATTATAGATATCCGAATCCGAATCCGATGATTTCGGATATCCGATCCAATAATCCGATCCGATCCATTTATTTATTTACTGAGCTACAATTTTATATAATTTGATTTTTTTTTAATTTTTATTTTACGTTTTTTCATTCAAATTGAGAATAGTCGGATCGGATTATCAGATTATCGGGTCGGATCGGATTTTTGCATATTCAATCTGTTTAATAAACGGATTAAACGGATTCGGATTATCGGATTATCGGGTCGGATTTTTTGTAAACGGATTCAGATTATCGGATCGGATTCGGGTTGGAATCAGATTAAATCTGATCCATTGACAGCCCTAAGCCGAAGTATGATGAATTGAAAAGTTTTACGCTAATTATAAGTGGCTGGCATACCAGTTAAAATATTAAAATTTTCTTACGAACTTTCTTTTCTGAAGTACTTTTTTAAAGAGGAATGCTGCTTCTTTATTATCCACAATTAAGATGAGCCATTGAGTATGAGTACCAGATAGCCCATCTTGCTATTGTTAGTTATAGTCAATGATATCCATCTAAGGATAGTAGTTTTAGCCAACATGTTCCGCATCTTGTTGGTTATTGGGCAATTCTTGTAAAATTCTATAAAAAATTCACAAGAGCCTCTTAGCATCTCCTACGTAGGTAGAACTAATTGTTGTTTCAGGTTTGACATTATGACTTGGGCACAAGTTTTCAGTAAAAACTGCTTTTGATACCTAAGAACTGTTGGCAATACCAAAGTTTTAAAAGGCTTGACTTGGGCACAAAACTCTTTTATTGAGAGTGTCTACCCTTCTGAAATTTTCAGTAGGGTTTGACTTCTAGTGTAAAATTGCTAGAGAAGAAAGCTTCTCTATTACAATCTAAGAGGAGTATTTAAGAAAGGTTCCCTGTTAAACAGAGTAAATAAAAAATGAGTTTCCTAATTAGGTGAATGATCCTTATATATTTGAAAAGTTTAGAATGTGTGTTGGCACATAAATTTCAACTAAATTTATGACACGTATGGAGCCTATGATAGGAAGGTTGTAGGTAATCACTTTCTAAAAAAAATCAATATGATCCGTTAAAATACATAAATAAAACGACGTTGTATCTCAACGACGTTATTCAAGATGCTCAAGTGACACGTGGAGCTTACGAAAGATGACACCTGCAGAGCCTACAGCAAGGACACCACACAGGACGAAACACCAAAAATCAATCCGGTTAATAAGATATACGATTAATCAGATAGCGCTATTATTCAAAACTCAAATGGCGCTATCATTCAATTTGAAATTCAAATTGAAGATGAAGCGTTCCTATCACCTGATGGCCCTCCATAAATATGAGGACCATCACACAAGACGGGGGATCGAAGAAAATCAGAAGTGAAAAGATCAGAGAGAGAGAGAGAAAGAAATTGAGAGCTAAAGAAATCGTTACAAGAAAGGAGAAGAGAAGCCTAGAGAACTCAAGAGCCTACGCTAATGGCGATGAATCGGTAAGGGTTCCAAACCCAAGAATTGTATTTTGTATTCGAGGGTTCAAAACCCATAACAATTTCAATAAAATATTTATTTTTTTAAAATTGTCTTTTGTTGTTTATTTTGTTCTTCATTAATCGGAGGTTTCATTTGTATAAAATGTGTAATTAACGATCTGAAATACAGATCGGAAATAAGAACCTACTATTCAAATAATCAACACTGTTTAGTCCAAAAACTAAACAGTGGACATTTGTAACATAAAATTTTGAAATGTATTGAAATACTTCATGTTTTAAAATTTGTGTCTACAAATTCTGGCACGCCTAGTGAGACTTATTTCTCCTCCCATCTTTTGAAGAAAAAAAAAAAAAAATATATATATATATAGTTGAAACTTACTGATGTATTCTTTTGTTATAGGAATGCTGTAGCAACTGTCAGGAGACAAACTTATAATCCAGTGGTTCTGAAATCACCAACGGTGGAGATAGCATCCATCACCCAAGGGGCTCCGGAGCGAATGCTCTTGGCTGTCCCAAAGGCAGAACCAACGAAATCCTAGAAAGATGCACTTCTTTTCCCTATCACCCAAGGGGCTCCGGAGCGAAAGCTCTTGGCTGTCTCGAAGGTCACTGGTGTGACAAAGAAAGTCACACTTTTCCAAAAAGCTGAAAGTTTGAGAAAGATTACTGAAGATTATGTGAAAGCGTCAAAGCAGTACGCAACTGTGAGGGCCACAGCCCGAACGAAGAGCTTTCTAATTCAGGCAAAGGAGGCTAATCAGTTTGCAACTACGACTTTTGTTGCAGCTTCAACGGGGGCAACAAAAAATGTTATTGCCTAACTACTCAAAAGGGTAGTAGACTCCATTAAAATGGTGGAGTTTGCCCAGAAGAAAGCCTCTGCTGAAAACATGGCCATCATTAGGGCCATTGGGAGGAGGGTAATGACCCAAACTCCTATTGATGGAAAAAAGGCCCCTGTTGTTGAAAAAACAGTTGCTGCCTACAAACCAATAGTTCTGTTCAGAGCACAAAATCAGTCAAATCAAATCTCAGTCAACTCTCAAGAGCCAAAGGAACACTCGTTGGCTCGACAGGGTTCGAATAAGGAACACCTGTTGGCCCGACAGAATAAGGAACACCCGTTGGCCCGACAAGGTTCGAATAAGGAACACCTGTTGGCCCAACAAGATTTGAATCAACATCAATTGGTTCGCTCTAAAAATGTAGGGATTGTTTTGAAAATTCATGAGGAATTTGCAAAAACACAAACGGTTCCTTCTATGCCCCTAGGGGCTCGACTTGATATGTCATCCGGTCCAGTTTCGAAAAGACAAAGGCGAAGAAGAAATAAGGCCTTAAAGAAACTGGAACTAAGAACAGTGGCAACAAATGTTATAGGAGCTATTGAAAGGGCTCTCTCGAAAGATGAACCCCAAAAACAAATTGAAAGTCCTGTCTTTGTTGGAAAATCCAAGGTGGATGAGGGTAAGCAACCCTTGGGAAATATTTCTACTTTGGTTGAACTATCTATGGAGGGAGTAAGAAAAGGGCCTGTAACAAGGTCCATAACCCGTCAGGCTCAAAACAAAGCATCACAGTCAGATGCTTCAAATATGAGTAATGTTGTGGGGGTAGATAATCCTTTATACGAACAAGATGATTCTATCTCGTTTGTTTCAACGGATATTGGAAAGAATGAATTGAGAGATACCAACAAAGTCACAGTTATGATGACTGAGGTTGAGAAAGAAGGTGAAAATTTACAGGTCCAACAAGACCAAGGTCTCAAGGAAAAA